GGCCTAAAGCCAAGATCCCTGGCCGTCCGGCCCATTCATGTTGTTGTCACTGGTTTTTTTTAGGATGCGGAAAATGAATGCACCTCTCTCTGGTTTTGTGAATAACTTTATTGAACGCTAGTCCTGCATGCCTTGGGCTATGCCCAGTTTTTAGTGTGTATTGGTCTGTCTCTTATACACATCTGCATTTTAAAGATATTTGATTGTTTATTTCAATGTTATGAATATATTCATCAGGCAAGCTTAGGATTTGCTTAAATCCTGTTGTTGTGAATAGTGGCGCCGTCCGTCGGCCGCCGACTCGCGGACCTTACTCTCTGTACAATGGTTGGTTCAATGAAATTCTCGAACTTCTCAAAAAAGTTATCAAAGCAGAGTGTGTTTAGGCCTGCGCCTAGAAATGTTGTGTCAGCAGAGAACGATTGTGTGCTGTTTTCCTAAATAAGGACGAAACCAGTTTTTCTTCTATAACCAGTTTTTAATCATGTATGTATTAATAATTGATTAGCTTGAAAAATGTTTGCTCATTTGTTTTATCATCAGATGGTATGTAGGCTAGGCTATTGTAAAGAAAGTAAAAAGTAAGTCAGTGCAAGATCCGGGATATGACTTCTTCGGCCGCCTACACCTTCGGCCGCGCGAGATTTATATGGAGCGCCAGTTGGGCATTTCTCCACACCGCATGCTGTGGCGGCCTTTGCTAAACTAAATAATTGCTGTCATGTCGCACAGTAATATTTACGTATTTATTTTAGGTATTGTATGTATATAAATAATTGCTTTCATGTACAGTATTATTTACTTATTTATTTCAGGTATGTGGATTTATTTTTAAGTGTCTTACATTGAAGAATTGTAAAGCTTCAGTATTTTATTTGTTTTACAGAACAGTATTCTTATTTATTATACAATTTGAAACTGTAGGCCTATAAAGTGTGTTATTTACAAGAGTTGGAAAAAGAAATCTAGAGTAAATTTGTCAATCATTATTCAATAAAAATTCTTTAGGAATATCTCATGCCCTTAATGTACATATACTTTATATCATTAAAGCCAATCAATTTATTGGTGATTTAAAATTCAGGTTTTTATATTTACATTACTGAACAAGTGCACATGTAGAAAATGAGATCTATAATCGATAACAAGCAATGATGTTTACCTTTAACAATTATCGTCAAAATGTTTAAAAATCTTGCAAATATGTTGCTTGTGTTAACCATGGTGTAAGTGGCAGCGCAAAGTTTGCCATGTTTAATTAGTTATGATTTTTTCACAAATTATTGCTGCGAAGCAGCCAATTCATATTCTTGACAGCAATTTGACCTCTGAAAGGTCATTGTTTGTCAAAAAACAGGCGCCTAATAAGACTACTGAAAAGCGGAGTTTCCTTCTTTCGCTCTGCCGGGTAAAATCAATTACTTTAGGCGACGTTTGTAGACTAACCTACTCGTACCAACGTCCGCATGTCGCGCTAGCCAGGCCTAGACTAGCTAGGATGTTATAGGCCTAGCCTTGAAGGGACGAAGGTTCCAATGAAAAGCAACGTCGCTCCTTGATAGCTAACATTGTCTATTTAACATCGCAATAATTCATTATTAGACCTATAGTTGTTTTTTGAATTGTACTCCACAAATCTCAGCCGATACCTCACACAACGTCTCCTATCTATTGTCGTCACGTCATGGCTCGCTGGCTCACACTTGCGATGTCTCGCACTTGTGAACAAATAACACGTTGGCTCGCACTTTGGCAACACTCTTTGGCAGTCAACTCGCCCCTAGAAAACCCGCCCTTGGAAACTTGCCCCATAAAAAAAATGCACACTTCCTAGACCATGCAGTCTTAAAAATAAAAATTGTAACCTTTGGTAATTAACACATTTTCCACATACATAGAAATTTTTGAAACTTTATTAAAAAAAAAACCTAAACCATAATTCACCACTATAGACACTTTTTGACAAAAATGAAAAATTACGACTTTGTTACCCAATGAGAAGTGTTCTAATATAGACAATGGGTCGCGTCTCATATTATTTGTTATACAGTATTTTTATTATTCATTATTTTCACTTGACTCGCATAAATAATTTTGTTCGAAGAACATTTATATGCAGTTGTACTTAGCAGCACTTCACTTGCAATTTGCAATTTCTAGTATAATTTTATTACTGAAATTTTAACACACTATTAATATTAATTGTTGCGACATGTTCTGTGTGTATAGGCCTATATTGTAACAATGTAAGCTTGAGTGTTTCTGAATTTGAGGTTAAGAATTGAATAGATATAATAGCGCTCATTCAACCACTGTATATCAGTGTGATAAACAATAGCGCATATTCAACCTCCAATCGGCAAAGCACTCAAAGGGCGCTCCATACATTTTGGTGTTCAACAGGGCGCGGCCGAAAGTGTCGGCGGCCGAAGTTGGCCTAAAGCCAAGATCCCTGGCCGTCCGGCCCATTCATGTTGTTGGTCACTGGTTTTTTTTAGGATGCGGAAAATGAATGCACCTCTCTCTGGTTTTGTGAATAACTTTATTGAACGCTAGTCCTGCATGCCTTGGGCTATGCCCAGTTTTTAGTGTGTATTGGTAGAATTAAGTTTTAATTATTTATATTTATTATTGTCAGATTGCTTAATATTTAAATAGGCCCTCCTAGTAGGCCTAGCCTAGGCCGGTAGCAGGTCAAAACTGGAATAACCAAAATGGCAATGACCAAAACGGCAATACGAAAACGGCAATGATAAGTATCAAAACGGCAACAGACCAAAACGGCTATGACAAGTACAAAAACAATGTTTTTGTCAATGCAAGCACCACCAGGCCCGGACCGCAGGTTTTTGTGCATCATTTGAAAATTTGATACGCAAATCGAATATTGCCATGGGATCTTTTTCCTGCTTTGAGTGTTTTAATGTTTAATTGTGGTATTTTTTTTTACACATCTAGATGCTTCATTTTGTCTATATTTTAAAGCGCTATTATTATTATTGTATTATTGTAGAAGTGGTTGGCGCATCGGTTGTGGCTTGGACTTCCAACCTCGAGGTCGGGGGTTTGAAACACTTGCTGTGCAAATCGCTTGTGTCCTTGGGAAAGGCACTTTATCTACGGTTGCCTCTCTCCACCCAGGAGTACAAGTGGGTACCTGGTAGGTTCCAACACTGCGCTGATTACTAGCCGCAATATTATGGAGATATAATTTAATTTAATTTAATAATTTCATTTAGTGTTCAATGTGTTCCATATGTGTTTGATCCAATGACCGGGGTAATAATGTGAAGCGCTTAGAGGCTTTGTTAAGGCATTAAGCGCTATATAAGAACGACATTATTATTATTATTACTGTTATTATTATTATTATTATTATTATTATTATTATTATTATTATTATATTATTGTTATTATTATATTATCGTTATTATTATTTATTGATTTACCTACCATCCTGCTTTGTAATGCACATTCGGTGCGTAACAAACTCGATGAACTACATATATTCCTAAACAAGGAAGAAATTGATATACAGTAGGCCTATAGACTTGCCACAAGTCTCTTATTTTTTTAAATTATTTTTCTCATTCTGGACAGCGCCACCAACGAGAAAGTTAATTTAGAGATAGACGGAATAAGCGACTTGTAAAACACTGAAGTCAGGCACCAGCAGGATGCAAAAAGAATGACGTAATCTTATATTCCATATTTGGATAAATGGCGAACCGAAATAAACAATTTCAACTAATCAAATGTTCATATTTTTGGAGCCACGAAACTGAGTCACTCGCCGCTCGCGTCGACTAGTTAGGCATGACTAAATTTAAATAGTCCTCCCTAATAAAACGGGCCTAAAATATTTAGAATAGACCCTAGTAAGACTAATTTTGGCAAAGGCAAAAACAATTAAGCCTAGACGGCATACCATACAAATACAACAAACCTTTAACTTTCCAGGAGGATGGCTAGCCTAGACTCTAGTAGAGGCTTGGCGTATTTTTAAGTTCTAACTTACAGAGGCCTACCTTTTTAACAATATTCTACTCTCAAGGCCTAAATCTATGTAGCAGCTAGCGATGAGCAAGTTTCCTAAGTACTGTATAGCCTACGGTTATCAGTCCATGTCGTTCTC